GAGGGCTAGGCGGAGGCAGAGCTTAATTTGAGTGCAGGCAGATAACAGATTTGAGTTTCCTTCCAGTATCTTCTGAGAGTGGGCAGGCAGGTCTTAGACAGGAATTGTTCTCCAGAGTTCTTCTGAGAACGAACAGGCAGATCACCGGCAGAGAAACTCTTCAGGGTTTCAGGTTTCTGGCAGATTCAATCTAGGAAGCAGAGAGGAGAAAACAGATCAGGTTCAAGTTCAGGTTTTCAGGGAGTCAGAGGTTCAGACAGGCTGGTTGGCTCAGGCTTGCTAACCGTTACTGGCAAACACTCTGGCACTGGAGAGAAGTCCTCTGCCTCCTTAAATACAGATCTCCTGATGAGCAGATGAGTGACAGGTGGTTGCAATCAGCTCCGGCTCCAGGAGATCTCGTACGCCCTCTGGTGGAGAAAGTGGACAGACCTCCAGATCCCAACACATACATTTAATAGACACTTTTTCTCTTACGACCCTCAGCCATTTTCAAAGAACCGCGTGAGAAAGCCGAGCTTCAATTACTGGCTGAAACTGTAGCTCACCACATAAAAGTGTGCATGCGCAGAAAAAGATTGCTAACCGAGAACAAGCACATAGGACGGACTTATGTAAACATATCACCAGAATGACTGACAATTAGGAGGACCACTTATTTTGATGATCCACTCGGAAAAAGAACATCCTCCACTATACCTTTAAGTCGACATTCAGGTGCTGATAAGTAAAGAACCTGATTGTCTGATTCGGATCAGACAAGAAGAACCGCTGCAGAAGCAGGAGTTTTGGTGGTTTGCTGCCATGGAGCATTCAGGTTTGTGTTAACACACTGAGCATCTGTCCCTCTGTCTGGTCGTGTCTGCATGTCGGGCCACTCTGAAAAGATGTTTTGAAGTTGAACTTTTTTTCAAATGTAGGTTAGAGAAGAAATTAAGCCCAGTAATTTCAGACAGGTTTGTAGGATCTATTGGTCACTGTAAAATTTACTTCAGGGGCTAATGAGCTCAACACCCAGAGCTCCTGAACCACTCTTCTGAATTCTGGATCCCGTGTCCTAATATTGAGTGATAACTCAGAAATATGTGGCTTGTTTGTAGCTTAAGGGAGGGCAGGGCCGCCTGTGGAGCTGGTTGACAGTTGCCTTTTGTATATCTGCTTCTTTTTCTATGTCTGCTTCTGTCTCCTTGAAACCCAGTCGGCCTCAGCAGATGACCGCTCACATTGAGCCTGGTTCTGCTTAAGGTTTCTTTCTGTTAAAAGGGAGATTTTCCTCTCCACTGTCACTACAAGCATTGTTGGTGTGAGGGATTGCTGTAGAGTCAATAAGTCGATGCAATCAACTGGTTTTCCTTGGATAGAAAACTTTGAATCTGTTTGTATTCGGACTGTATGATCTGGTTGAATTGTAAAGTGCTTTAGGATGACATGTGTTGTGAATTGGAGCTATATAAATCAGCTGAATTGAGATCAATTATAGATTTTAGAAATGTCTATAAGAGACTATGTTTATTTGTTTTACCCACCCCGCTCCCTTTTTTGCTCAAGCCTGGCTTTTTAAAATTAGTCTTAAAAATGAAATTGATTTACAGATTATTATCTTACACAATTGGTCACAATTGAAATCCTCAAACTATGCTAGGAAGGATAATGTTGCCTTGCTGTTTTACCTCTTAAATAATAAGATATACTAAAGAGTCAAAGTTTTTAAAGATGCAGCAGGCGGTGTTTGTTCCAATGAGCAAGGCTTTGTTTGTCAATCTTGTGTCTATGCAGAAAAACTAGAGTCTGTATAGAACTGAATAAAAAGTATTTATGTAAAGCCTGAAAATAACTTATGTAGGTTTGAAATTGAATGTAACATTAAGTTAGTTTACAGTAAGCAGCAGCTTTGATTTAAGGTGAAAGTGTTGGATCATAAAGATCTTCATGAAATCCCGTCTGGTTCCTTGTTTTCTGTCTCTTTCCTGTTAAGGTATGAAATCTTTGAGCCAAATCCCCATTTTTGAGCCATAAAGCTACATCTGCTGCTGGTTTATTCCATTGATGTCCTGTCTGTATCAATTCCCGCTGCATGTCTGTTGGCCGACTTATTCAGAAGCTGCTACTTGATGTTCTCTTGTTGTGTGTATTAGAAAGCCAAATCTGGGTGGAGATGACAGAGGGTGTAATCGCTGGCTATGTGATTCAACAATAAGACCCTTAGAAGCCATTCAGACTGGGGCCTGTCCTTGACCCTTAAGGAGCTTGTAATGTGGGCTTTTTTTCCCTGCTCTTTGTATTTCTAGGCACAAATGAGGAGGGGTGCCGGAGGTGGAGGGAGGACCAACCACTGAGTGAGGGCTTCTGGCCCTCCATGTCAGTGGCAGCATACAGGGGGAGCTTCACACACACACATAAACACATGCACGCATTGGTTCTCCTGGCGTGGACTCATTTCATTTGGAAGGAAGGGTGAAGGTTTGAGGGTGAGACAAGAGAGGGGATGGAGAGTTGAGAGAAAAGAAGTACCCCCTCCTCCCACCTTCGGGAACTCCAGCAGGGGGCCGATCTTAAAGGCTTCTCTGTCTCTCCACAGGGGGACGGGGTGTGGTAGGGGGGCAGGGAGGCTCAATCTGCGGCCCCGCTGGTCAGCACTGGGAGCTCCACGTTGCTCGGCTATCCATGACAACCAGAGTGAGAGACGCGAGAGGGAAAGTGAGGGAACATGGAAAAGCTCAGCTGCGGTCAGAGAGCGCTCGGTTGGAGCAGAGAGATGAGAACAAAGCACCCAGTGATTTTCATTTCTACCTCTTTGTTTGCTTTATATTGTCCACAGACGTGTCCCCTCTTTGCTTACTGGGAATAAAGAGGCTTCAAAGGAGATGCAGGCACACACAGCCATGTCGACATAAATGCACACACATGTGTGGCTAATTGAATTATGTGTATACAGTGAGTCAGATGCTTTCTGTTCACTGTGGCTTCACTGTGAAAGCAGCTCTCAGAAGGGGCACAGCACCCCTAAAGCTGAAGAGCTAAGGCCGGCAGAGGATGCAGAGAGGGTTTTTTAAAGAAAATGTCAACAGATTTTAAACCTCTGAGGTTACATCCCTGTTACACAAAGGGCTATGCTCTTCTGTGTTCATCACTGGATTGTAAGTTAATGGTTCTTATGTTAAGAGCAGAACATGTTTAATAAGCATCAGCACTGTATAAAAACAAACTTTCACAAATGCAGGAGTTAGTGTACCAAATGCTTCTCAGGTGCTTCATGAGATATAATGAAACTTTATGGAAGGTAGAGGCCAATAAAGATGAAATCTATTTGCTCTCTTTTAAGTGTTTTCAATATTCAAACTGAAGTATTTCCTATTGCATAATCAATGCATGGAGAATTACTATTCAACCATCAGAAATCAAGTAAACATAGCTTTGTGTCAGAAGATGTGGCAAACATGTTTGTCTGTTTCAGAAGAGAGAATTGTGGGATTGCGTATTGGAAGGAACAACTCACAGGGGATACTTCAGATACTCTGGCTTTCTCCTGGAGTCCAATAACATTACTGCTAGCTTGGTACCTCTACAATATCCTTAGGTGTAAGTCAGTATCATCGTTTGTCCGTTGTGTCTTTGTCTTGTCCTCGTATGGAGGGTGAACCATCCTCTTGCCTGCCGTCCACTGGAAATCTCCCCCTCATAGACATTGGAATCCTAAAACACATCAGAAACTGTTGCTATGTTCAATAAAAAAAAACACTAAATGTGAAGGGAGATCAAGTGATTGGGCCTAAACTACTGTGCAGCTTTAAGAAAACTAGTGATCAGTGAGGCTAATCAGGGTAAAAGCTTAAGGGAGCATAAAGATTAAACTTGAGATCAATAGAGGAAGGCCATGTAGTATGATGGGTCCAGATTTAGCCTGTTCCAGAGTGATGGGTGCATCAGGGTAAGACGGGATATGGCTTAAGTGATGCATCCATCATGCAAAGTGCCTACAAGCCTGAAGGAGCAGTGGTATGATCTTGAGTTGCTGCAGCTGATCAAGACCTCTGACTTCTAGTACAAGAAGTATTTCTGTCATCTGCAGAAATACTCAGATAACTACAGTGGTTGGATGCATCAGAAATTGAAGAGTAAAGGGAGGTGGTGGACTGCTTTGTGGCATGGTGTGGAAACAATCATCTGACCCAAAATGTGAGTAAAAAAGGAGATTATTATATTTCAGAAGAAACTACAACTTTATTGAACACAATTACCATTGAGGGACGAGAAGTGGAGGTGGTGGAGTAGTATATACCTCAGGGTTTATCTGAGCAACTCGACTGAAGACTATAGTGTGGAGCCGTTTACAAGAAGGGACAACATACTTCTCGAGGAAGATTAGATCCTTCGGTGTTTGCAGCGAGATGCTGCATATCTTCTGTAAGTCTGTTGTGGAGAGTGTGATCTCTTCTGCCATCGCCTGCTGGGAAACAGCATCAGAGCAAATGACTTAAAGAAGCTCAACCAGCTGATCAAGAAGGCTGACTCTGTCCTGGGAATTCCTCTAAAACCTCTGGAAATGGTTTTTACAAACAATAATTATTCACAAAATTACCATTATGGAAAAACCCTGAGCATCCTATTAAACTGATTGACATACATGAGCTCTTTCTGTTTCTTCAGATTTGCTGTAAGACAGCTTCTACCTGTTGAAGAAGTCCCTTACATTTAATTCCTCTTTGTATGAAGCTATTTCAATTTTATTGAATTAACAGAGACTAGCAGAGTCTGAAATGGAGCATCTGTTTTTCTCTTTTTTTTTGTTGTTATTTCTATGAGAATTGCCCACACTGTTCTTTACTGATAGTCACCTTTCTGCCGATGACCTCAGTTGAGTCCACTCTCTCCCTCAGTTCCACTCCCCGTTGCAGTTGCGCCATTCAGCCACAGCTCGCCGCTGTTGCATAACTCTCCTCCCCTCTCTCCCTCCCTCTGCCCATCTCACTCTCTCTCCTGCCTCTCTGCCTCAGCCAACCCGGGCTGTGCCGAGCTGCTCCCTGCGGGATCAGAGCGCTCCCCCGCCGGGACCCTTCTCTCACATCCCCCTGCTGGGACGCGGCTACATTTCCAGCCAAGCACTGCCTGCCTTGGCTTTATTATGTGTGTCTGCGCCGCAGCCCCGCCAGCAGAGGCAGGCAGAGGAGGAGGAGGGAGGCTGGTAGCCAGAGTCAGGACAAAGAAAAAGCAGGGAGACAGAGGCTAGCGCAGGGTTAGGCTGCTGTTTATTAGTGCCGCTGTAGGAAATATTAACAAACAGAAAACGTGGGTTGTAAAAGCAGCTTTCCCCTCTGGGTGGAGAAACAGGGAGAAGGAGCGCACTGTCCACAGATCCACACCACCTAGAGTAGAATTAAGGGACGGAACGCAGGAGGCTGTCCGGTTCGTCTCTTGGAGGGGGGTTAAAGAGAACCAGAGCAGGTTGAAACAGTAAACTAAAGGAGCTCAGAGGAAGAGGAGAGGAGCGCGCGTCATTCGATAGCCAATTATTTTAGAAAATCCCCCCAAAAAAGAACAAAACAACAACCCCACTCTCTGCGGGGACTGTGGCTGTCACTTCTCTCTACCACAGCGCGTGGAGGTCCTGCCCAGGTGTTTGATTTGCCGCGCGCGTGGGTGGCAGCTCGCGCACAGGTCCGTCCGCGAGCGCTGGAAGAGATTGGAGAAGGCGGAACGCGTGCCGCGCGACAGCGGAGAAACAGCCGAAACAAACCCAAAAAGGCTGTCTGAGTCGCGGCGAATAAGGAAGTTTTGTCCGCTTATCCTACAGGTTGCGCCAACCTTTTTTATTTTTATTTAATTCCTTCCTTTGAAGGAGGAAACAGCAGCATCTGCCTGCCGTCCGTTCGCGGTGCGTCGGGCTGCTACTGGCCGGACTGACGCCGGAGAGCGACGCTGCCGCATTGCAACAGGCGGAGAGGAGGTGGAGGTGAAGAAGAGGAGCGGACAGCCCGGCTGCTCCGCCGCCTGCATGGGAAGCTGAAACACGAAGCGGAACGAGAGCAGTTAGAGAAAAGCAAGGTTTCAGAGAGCAGAGCGGAGATGTCCAGACGGAAACAGGCCAAGCCGCGTTCAGTTAAAGGTAAGAAAGTCCTGCTTTGGTAGCAGACTGGGAATCCTGCCGCCTTAGCCTTGTTTCTTAATTTAATTGAAGTTAATATCCCCCCAACGGGCTGTAAGCAGGTTATGTGAACCTCTACAGCCACCAAGAAAATAAAATAAAAAAACAACTTGTGTTTTTTCTACTCCGTGTACTTGACTGAGTGGAAAATAGTTTTTTTAATCTGTTAACACGGGTGGATCATTGTTCTGTCAGCGTGCTGTGAGCTTTTTCTTTTTTTTTTCACAAACTTGTGGTTCAATGAATGAGTTTGATTTCTGCAGTCTAATTTAGACTGTAAATTTAGTCCCATTTTAATCTTACTGATGTTTCATGATTAAAATATAAAATGTTTTGCAGTTTGTAGGTTTTGCATCTTATTTTAGTCCAATTACTTATATTTTTAACCAGTGCAAGGTGTGGGTTCATATTTATTAAATAAACAACAATAATTTTAGTGTTTTTTGTTGCAAAAATAAGTTTTTAGTGTTGCTTAATGAAGCATGATTTTTTTTTTTGCTCCATCTTCATAAAGTGTAGTTCATTGCAGTGCATGGGTGAGTGGACATCATGCAGGGGCGGGGTAGAAGGGGGGCATGTGGTGTCCTTGGCCTGGCTGTTTCCTTTATGAGACCCAGATGGGCGACGGGACTGTCCAACCATGTGGTCACCAACACCCCCCCTCCTTCTTTCCCCATTTCCTTAAACCATCCAGGCTTCGCTTTTTCCCTTTGCTGTGCCTGAATCGTTTCTGGCATTAATTGTAACTCATGGCTGTTGGACCAGAACTGTGATGTCTGGTGGTTTTAATCCTCCACTATGAGGCAAGACGCCATTAATTTAGTCCACATTAGAAGGGAGGCTGTGTGTGCTGTGCAGGAATCTCTGACAGAATGTGTCAATGCGCTCCCTTGGGGATTGGTTTGTGGTTTTTTAGGGCTTTCTACTGCAGGCTGAGTGTTCAGGCAAACTGTTTAAAATTGTTTTTCTTTTAGCTCTCATAGGGAAGAAGATTTGATTGGCAGTGACAGTTTTCACTTCCCACAGCCGCCTCAGGAATCTCTATAGCAAAGCTGTGAAAAAGTGAAGCTCATTTCCACAGTACAGACCTGGTTCTGGTCTAAAAATGCAGAATATTAGCTGCATCCTTTATCAGCGTGTGAACATTGTAACTCAGGAAGCTCAAACCCCATATTTAGCTGTGCTGAACAGGTTAAACATGGGTGAAGATTTCTGTAACACAAATGAAATACTGAAAGTTTCTTCAGACCAAAATAGCTTATTTAAAAAAAAAAAAGTCATGTTTGGCTCTAAATGGGTGACTGCATCAACCAACAAGTCCTACTCAGATCTTGAAAACATAAGATCTTTCCCCTGCATTGCTCCCTGACCATAACGTGGAAGAAAGGACGAAGATTATTGTTGCGTCCCGTCAGGATCGTTGGATCCATCTGCGTTCTGTGTGTGTTTGTCTGAGCTCATGTTGTTGGAAGTGGGATCTCGTCTTTGAGGCCGGCGGGTCTCAGCAGCCTGGATAACGGGAGCTTAGCTTCAGTGAGGCAGCGGAGCGAAGCGAAGCGATGCAAAGCCGATGCAGACGACCACCACTCTCTTTCTCTCTCTCTCTCTCTGATTTTTCTGCAAATACAGCCCTTGTTGCCTTGTCTTTAAGCGCCATGTGTTATGTATACTCCTGTGTGTGTTTCCTATCTCCCATCCACACCTTGCTCCTCTGACAGCTTGGCACGGCCTGCATGGGAGGGGGGCGCTTGAAGGGGGAAACTAGGGGAGGGGGTGAAGGGTAAACAGTATGGGGGGTGTAGCAGGTGAGAGGCCAGGCTGAGGTGAGCATCACCGGGGGATTATCTGTGTTTTCGTGTTCTCCTGTCTTTCACCTGCTTACCGAACTCTGACCTGGCTTAGCGTCCATCCAGCCGCGTGCAGGAAAACAGCTACAGAGAGCCGCTGAGTCCCAATTCCTCCATCTCTGCTGCTGCAGGTCTGGACCGAATCACAATGACCCGCTCCGGAACGGCTTGATCATACATCATTCTGGCTTCTAGCTCAGATGTTATCAAATTCTGTCTTTTTTTGGTGTTTATATTTATTGTTTTCTCTTAACTGCCCTTCCTTAAAGCTGCATAGAATAGCTGTCTGCATTAAGACGCTCAGGCAATGATATTCATCTCTTACAAACTTCTACTTTCCAGCGTTTTCACATAAGAGGTGATTTGTTCTAGGATAGTTTTCGTTTTTATAACAATCACAATACTTATGAAGTGGAAAACTATAAATAATCAAAAGCTTGCAAATGTGAATCCAAGCCTGTAAAATGATATGAAAACATGCAATTAGGGTAAATATGAAAATGAAGATATTTCTTCTGGTTTACCAACATTGAATTCACAACCCGCCTTGAGCCTTCCAGTCTTTGTTGATTCATTATTTTTAGCTAAACTCTGCTAAGATGCTGCAGTCTGGAAATGCATGATCAAAAATCTTCATCGGTTGATCCAGTACTTAAACATTGAAATGGCTTAACTTAAATGCATCAAAACTAAGTCCATCTCTTTGGGTGCATTCTCTTCTCAATCATCAGCTTTGTTTCTTTCTGAGTTTGATAAGTTTTACAACAGATAGTCGATCCATATAATAGGTAAAAAAAAACATGAAATGTTACTGTTTGATTCCTAAATAACCACCTCTGTTTCCTTTATGTTTTTAAACTCCTTTAACATATATTTTAATCTTCAGTGGAAAGCATAACTGCTGCTCCGTGCATCTTTGATCAGAGTTTTGAAAGCTGTCAGCGAAAGCCCACCCAGCTGGTGGAATAGCCCATTAGCGAGCAGGGCATGACTGTAAAGAGCTTTAGATTTATATTAATTATAAATGCATCAGTCAGTTACCAAGAATTTGGAGTTGGTCAGTTGTCCCTTGATTGGCTTTGAAGGGTCAAACTGGTCAAACAATAAAAAAACTGAAACTGGTTTCTCTACTTGTCAAATTCATGAATGCTTAAATCTGGTGTTTATATGGGGCAGATGTTTGAAAAATAAATAAAAGCAATCTTTTATTTTTCTTATGTTTTCATGTGCAGCACATTGGCCAGTGGGTGTTCATCTTAAATGTTCTTTATGAATAGATTTGATCTCATTTGATTATCTTAATTAATTAAAACCCAGTACCTTGTTAAGGGAACCTGTAGCACACTGCCTTCTTTAATGTTACATAAACCGTGATAAAAATCTGATTGGCAGTTCAGAAATCAGATTAAAAGCTGGTATTGGCCTTCTTTAAGCCTGATTAGTGCATCTCCAAACAACTTCTTTAAGAGGCAGTGAGAGCTGAGATGTTCATCTAACTGGTTGGATTTAATGCACTCGTGCAGAAGACTCAAAACGTGATAATTTAATGAATATAGCTTTGGGATGGTCCTTTGGACTAATGATAGAGGAAATATCGATATGCATTTTATGTTGGGCAGCTCTAACAGGTTCATTCATGTAGGCAATTCAACTAAAAATCAGTTCCTAACTCAGTGATCACTGTCACACTGTGTTTAGTGTCTAAGGAAGAAAGCCAAACTGTATCCAGTTATAAATTGCTGTATGTTGGTTAGAAATGGCAAATCAAAAAGGGGAAAACTGAGGGGATGTTTATGATCAGAACTATTAATTTTCTTTCTGGAACTATATGAATGTATATTAAATCTTGTATTTTTCAGTTTAAACATATATCTGCTCTTTGTAATCATTGATCATTTTTCACACCCTGTCAGTATACACAGTTTTTTTTCTTATTTGGGGGCTAAATCTATATCTATAATTGTGCAAAGTAGGGCTGAAACAATTCTTAGGATTAATCGTGATTATGGAAAAAATTGTCATCTAATTTAGGAATCAATTAATTGATTAAGTGGAGTATAGAGACGGTAAAATATGCTTTTAGCTGACATAGCAACCCACTGAATGCTGTAATTATATCAAAATCGTAAACTGTCCATATGCTCTATCCAGAACTCCTCAAGTGGAAACGTTTTAGTTTCACCTGGTTTAATTTAGTAAATAATCTTCTATAAGGAAGCTTTGGCTATCTGATTATTAATCGATGAATTGAGAAAAACAATGAACAGATTTATTGATTGGCAAAATAATTGTTAGTTGCAGCCCTAATGCAAAGGAATGCTCTTTTAAAACTTAACCTCTCAGGTGATCAAATAGCTCTCATCTGATATTTGCCTCTCATGTCTTTTCAGGCATTGATTTAGCAGAAATTTATGTTAAAAAAAGAATAACGCAAATAGAAAAAATGTTTTATATCTCCTTCCGGTCTTATCCTGGTTATTATGTTCACATTTTGAAAATTAAGTGTTAAGCAACTGCTCAAAGGAATCCATGGCAGGATTAGGTTTGTAAAGCCTTCCAGTATATATCGGATGACATTTGTTCCTGCAAGGCTGAGAGGCTAGGACCTTGGTGAATTTATTGGAGATCTTTAAATCTGTCACACAGCATCTATAGAAATGCAGACAATTAATAATTATTGTTTTAAAAAGGTCTAACAGAAATAGATGAGGTTCATGTGCGTTTTCTTAAGCAATTGCTGTAAACGGATCTTCTAACAGAATGGAAATAATGAGGCAGTGCATTTTAAGTCCTTACTAAGTCAGCAACATTAGTGTTTTTTACTGATTTCATTGTCAAACTTCCGTGTTTTATATTGTTTTATATTTATATAACAGTATACAACTTCTTCTGCCTTTACATCTCTTTTATGTCAAAGTAAACAGATTTTTGCTTGAAGATATTTTTCCTTATGTTTAAAATCATCCTCATTGCTGCCTTGATGAGCAGAGATCCTCCTTCAAAACGTGTTGGTTTTGAAGGATTTAGTGAAACGGTCGAGCCTCTGCAGCGATTAGACCCTGTTAGCAGGGACGGGACCTGACTAATTGCCGTCTGTAAATTGAACATGGACTA